GCTGGGGCTGGGGAAGGCAGGGATCAATGTGTGGGTCTAAGGACCGTTCCTCTGTTCAGTAGGGAGAAGAAAAGGTCCATGGGAGCAGGCTCCCTACACCCATAACCCACACTTTCCCCTAGGGTTAAGGTTGCGCCATCTCTAGAGGCTGAAGAGCCAAACCGCTTACTTTTTGTCTTTCACGTGCCTTCTGGAAGTTATTTCCTTCCAGATCTTATCCCAAGTTACACATGCTAAAAATAACCACCAAGTTATGTTTTTCTCCCATGACAGAGAACTCTGCATCTTCAGCGGGCATTGGAGGTGGGCAGCGGGTGAATGCAGTTTGAAGATGTCCCTGGGGTGAGGTGTGCCCAGGGCGAGTACCCTCTGCAGGGTGGAATGTGGAGAGCAGCCTTGGATCCTACCAAAGATACATCCTCTCATGCCCTGCCTACAGAAATGTGTGGCACACACTCTGGAACAAATTGCCAGCACCTATTCTCCATGGCAACACAGACACCTATCTGCTCCAGTAAATTCCCATGCTGACTTAAGTCATCCAGCAAAAGAACAAACATGTATGCCAACCTCGGGCTATCAACAAGACTTCTCCATGGGAGGGGAAGGGATGGCTACTTGGTAGTGCCAGATCCTTGGGCTACAATTGGGGCAGAAAGTGGCCAATAAAGAAAAGGGACTGACAGAAGAGAATTCTCAAAGCCACTGACCAGGCCTTTGCCCTGTGAGAGGACAGTGAGGGAATGAGGTCACCACTGCTGTATGACACTGTCAGGTGAAAACACTAATGAATGACAATAGACCCTGACTTAAAAACCATGAGCACCACACGGTGCATGCATGAGACAGTGTTCCTCACAACCCTCAGACGCGAGGTTATTCCCTGCCAGCTGCCTGACCCGCCATTCCCTCTGCAATTGCACCATGAAGGTGTCTTCCATTCCTGGTTGTGTCTTGGTAAGAAACACTCCATGGTGGGAGAAGCATGGGATACAGGCAAAGTGACCTCCTCCTGTGCCACTTGTGTGTGACCACAAGGGACATCATCACATTTCCTTGTCCACTTGTGTGTGACCACAAGGAACATCATCACATTTCCTTGTCCACTTGTGTGTGACCACAAGGAACATCATCACATTTCCTTGTCCACTTGTGTGTGACCACAAGGGACATCATCACATTTCCTTGAATGAATGGTTTCCCCACCTGGAAAGCAAAGTTTCATTTCTGTGGCTCTGACAGAAGGTAATGTAGGGGGTTTATTTCAGCGTCCACTTCCAGGTTACAGTCCGTCATTGTGGGGAAGTCACACTGGTGAGAGCCTGTAGAAACCGACCCCAGCACATCACATTCACAGCCAGGGGCAGAGACATCAACGCATGCCTGCTCACATGCTCACTTGTCAGTGCCCAGCTCAGTCCCCCGACTCCTCCATGGTTCAGGATTTCCTGCCTGGGGAATGGTGCCACTCACAGTGGACTGGGTCTTCCCAAACCAACTAACTTAATTAAAATAATCTCCTACAGACATGACCACGGGCCAATCAAATGCGACTGTCTGTCTCCTCGGGTGACACAAGGCTGTGACAAGGTGCCAGTTAAAGCTAGCCATCACAGGTGCCAACGATCTTGTGGTTGGGAGGATGAAAACGACCTGAGAAAGCCTCTGCGACTACAAGGTACAATACAAATGATGCTTATCGCTAAAGCAGGGCTCAAAGGGTTACGGAAAAGCACAGGTTTATAAAGGGGACCTTGCCTGTGGTTTCTTCTTCAAGGACAGAACAGCCATGTGAAGCGTCTGTGGAGGACCAGAAGTCTGAACTATGCCCATGTGGTAACCTCAGTGTCAAACTCTTGTCTGCATAGTCTCAAAGAGGCTGAATTAGTGGGTGTACTTCTGTTTCCTTCTGGAACTATTCCAGAAAAGAATCAGCAATTTTCACATGTGCATAAATAACTTTGACCTATTGCTATTTTGCAAACTTTTTTCTTTTTGCAATTAATAGATCCTAACCAAGCCAAATAAATTATTTGGCCATTGTCCTATAATCCATATGATACAGGATAAACATGAACTATCATGGTTTAACAGTTATTTTAATCTTAATCCCATTTTTTAAAACAGTTTTTACACTAAGTCAAGTTTTGGTATACTGTAGATTTTGTGATTCTTTTATATTTTTTTTCCTTAATGGGCTCTTGCTTAAGGCCTCCCTATCAATCAAAAGACAAGTAAGGTTAGAAGGTGAAAGTGTCTTACTTGGGTATGACAGCAATGCACAAAGTCATTCCCTCTAGGTGGGTGGCCTCTTATTTGCTGTGATTATATTTTTAAAATACAATGTCTGCTCTGAGGCACTTTATCTGCAATTAAGGCTGTTTACCATTAGGTGGCAGTAGGGTCACAACCATGGTTTTCTGCATAGCCTTGACTAGATTACTTCTAGCAAGAGATGGGAGTAGGAATCTGTATTTCGTCCTTTTTCAAAAAAAATTGAAAAATTAAAACAACTACATTTGACAGTATCGGAGGAGTAATCTTAGTCTTTAATACTTAATATGAACAAATATTCAGTATTTATGGCCTTTAATAACTCGTCACTAAATATTTAATTGCTGGGATATAAAAGCATTCTCCCCCACCCCAAATAGATACAGACTTCATTCTAAACCCTCTGAGAATCCTAAGCCTGGGTGCCAATGCCTGCTTTTGAGTTACGGGACCCCATACCCTTGTTTCTATACTCCTGTCTCCTCCATGGCAGGGGACCATGGAGTCTGACTGTTTGAGGCCCCTTCAGAATTTATTGCCCTGGCTCCTGAGAAGAAGAAAGCAAGAATATGGCGGCAGGCACTTGAGAGTGATGAAAGCCAAGACATGGAAGAGGGGATGCTAAACTTTAACAAGAAAATGTGATGCTGGACTCTGGGGTTGGGGGAGGTGGCAGATTCCTCCTGCTAAGGGATGGAGACTCAGATCAAGAGGGTGGCATTGCCAAAGGAGCCCCTTCAGCAATGAGACTCACTCGGGGTCAGATACTGCTCACAGCACTTCATAAAGGAGGGGCGCAGAACACACACGCTCATGCTGACCGTCAGGCAATGTCACGCAGGTCTCATCACTAGAAGCAACCTGGGCAGGAGCACTCTGGCACCTGAGCATGCCTGTCACTTTACAGTTTGGGCTCCTGTGGGCCAGCACTTAGCTGTCCCAGGAGGGACTACGTTTCCTTCCCTGTCCTGGCTTTGTAGAGGAAAACACCTTTTAGCAAATCAAGTGACGGTAGGTACCACATCCCATCCTGTTCTTGGGTTTAACTGTGTCTCTTTGACTCTTTGCTTGACATGAAATGATTTATTCTGTTTAAAAGCAGTGGGTGGGCCAGTGAGATGGCTGGGGGTGAGGGTGGGGTTTATAGTATATGCTGCCAAGTCTGGCTACCAGAGTTCAGTCCCCAGACACACATGGTGGAAGTTGAGAACCTTTGTCCTTTGACCTCCACATGCATGTGAGCATATTCACACACAAAATATGTAAAACTTTAAAAACGTAATATAACAAAAGGAGTTGAGATGGTTTTAAGTTACAAAGTACATCATCCCAATCACTGCTCTATCTCTCTGTTTGTACAGGTTTGTGTATATGTATGTTTGTGTATATATGTACATATGTGTGTGTGTGCATGTTTGAATGCAAGTACATATATATACATACATATACATATACACACATACACACACACATGGAATCCAGAAGTTAACACTGAGTGTTTTTCTCTATTGCTCTCCAGCTTAGTTTTTACGCCAGGGTCTCTCCCTGAACCTCAAGTTCAACATCCTGAAGTCTCCCTTGAGTCCTAGAGTAGGGGGAACCCCTTTTCTGTCCCATGTAATAAGCAAGCATACCCATCTTGTCCTCTAAACTGAGGGAGCACAGCCTCTGTCTTTGAGGGACAGCCCAGCTAATCCCGGGATGATTCATCAGTCTCTTGGGGTGTTTTCTTCCTCAGCTTCTCTTCTCCGCTGGATTACCCTCTCCCTCATCAGCTATGAGTGTCAGGCAGACTGTCCTCAGTGTATATATGTCCTGGTCTGGGGAGGCCACCAGCACTGGAGACAGAGCAATGGGACCATCTCCACAGAGCTCTTGTGAGCCCTGGGTCCCAATGGTTCCTCAGTTACTCTGGCAGCTGTGACTGAGGCAAAGCAGGGTCCTGTGTTTGCATTGATTCACCATCTAGCAGGGTTCTTTTATTAATAATAAACTGAGTTATGTTACATTAAAGAGAAATTCGTGATGGCCAGCACATGGGTCTTCTCTTAACAGGAGTCAGAGTGCTCACTGCCTTGGTGGCTTCAGGGAGTCAGACATAGGTTCTCAGACGTGTGACTCCAGGCCCAGGCCTCAGGTCTGCAGAGTCAATCCAGTCCCTGTTATCAAGGCACAGGACCCACAGAGGAGAACGGTGACTGTGGACCTCAAGGGACCCACAAGAGGGACAGACAGACCAGCACTCAAGACCACAGGTTGGGAGTACAGGGAGGAAAGAGGGTTTTGACCCACTGGGGATGGGAGGCAGCTTGTAGAAGGATGCGTCCCCCTTCTAGTCAGAGAAGCAACCCAAAGCAATAACAACTCCAATCATGCTTCAACCCACATGGGAGCCTGGCTAAGCTGGAGGCTTCCGGTCTAGAGAAGGTTGGAGGACTTAGGAAGGAAGGTTAGTCAGTCTCCGACGACTGGCACATGCAGAGTCCCAGCCTCCAGCAGACTGACTCTGACCACCCAGGGTCTTGCCTGAGTATTCTCTGAACCTCTCAACTCCCACTGGCACAGCCATGGTGCCGTTCCAAACAGCAGGCAGCATCTTGGGTATAGATTTTGAGCCCTCTACTTCCTCAGCCCACTCAGACTTCACACTTTCCCCCAACCTGTTTTTGCCTGGAACGGTTTCTCTAAAAGGAACACGAAGCCTCTTTTCTTTCCCTCTTTGGAATAAAACACTCCTCTGAGACCATCTGCCCTGGAAATGCATCCAGATATGTTGGTGGCTCTTCTTCCGAGATCACAGGCCAGCACCCAGAAGTCCCCAGTGTCCGAGCCCTGCAGGTATACTTGTGCCCATTCTTTTTAATTTTTTGAAGATTTATTTTCTGTGTATTTTGCCTTCATGCATATCTGTTCAGTGTGTGTGTGCCTGGTACCTGAGGAGGATAGAGGGGGCATTGAATTCCCTGGAACTGAAGTTCTGGGTACTTGGAATCGAACCCGGGGCCTCTGCAAAACAACAAATGTTCTTCACTGCTTGGCTATCTTCCCAGTCCCATTCATTCTTGTCTGCCCTGAAGGCTGCTGTAGGTTGACATTAAAAACTAAAGGGTGTTGGAGGGCCTCCTCTAGCACAATGGGGAGTCAAAAGAGGCTAAGGAGGGAGGGGTAGGCAGGGGAGGTGGGGCCAGGAGTCCTGGGTTCAAGGTGTGCTTCACCCATGAGTCAGCATGTATCTCGGCCGAGGGGCTCCATCTTGTCCTACCTAAGCTTTTTCTGAGTCACAGACAGGAAGCCCAGTCCAAGAAGGCTGAGATAATCTGGGCTTATGGTAGGTGCCATATTTCTAGATCCAAGACCACTGCTCTAGGCCCAGAGACCTGCATTTCTGCATAGCTCCTGGCAAGGAACACGTTAATATTCTTAGTCTATAAGTAGCTCCTGTGGTTGTAGATAAAATTAAGTGGCGTGGCTATTTTGGTAGAAAGTCAGGTAAAAAAAAAAAAAGCTGAAAAATAAGCTCTCTGTCAAATGCCAGCCCCCCGCCCCCCCGCCACACACACCCTGTTCTTTTTTTATGCCCATTTGGTATTTGTTTTTAATTCTGGCTGATTGTCAGTTTTAAAACCTGATGCATAGCGTGGCTTGCTATTCCGGAGGCGTTATTTTAAGATAAAACAATGTAAATTCTGCCTTGGGATGGCAGATGGCTGGCAGTTCGCTGTTTGGCAATGCAACTGGTATGGTATGTTGAGGATTGAGAGCAGCAGGTACAGGGCTCAATTCGAAACCGCCACAGATGCTCGGAGGGAGCGGGGGAGGGGCGCAAGCTGGTCAGGAAATTAAGAACGGTACTGGGAGCTCAGAGGGAGGAAGATGGTAACTAGCTGAAAGTTTGCTTCTTCTGGGCTCTACTTATTCTCTTTCTTTCTCTTTGGCTGCTCCGTGGAAACTCGGGAAGGCCCTTAGACATCAAGAGCAGGGAAGAGCTTCTAATTTTGCTTCAGATCAGTATGCTGGGCAAAGCTGGGGCTCCTTGGGAAACTGAAAGGTGAGGACAAAGCTGATAAAGGGAGTCTCGGATGTGTTATTCTGCAGAGACATGCAAAGTGCAGCATCAGGCAGGGAGCCCGAACCCCGTAATGGCATCACGGGGAGGAAGGACCGGGGTCTGTGACAGACAGACAGGTCTGCCCAGCATGGACAAAGGCGGTGTCTCTCATCTGAAGATCCCCCTCCTACCAAGTCTTCCACTGACACTTTCACTGTGGGCCCAGAGAGTGTGTAAGGTGTTGGTGTGCTGGCCTGGAGAGGAAACAAGTCGGGAGACCCATTCAAAGCCAATGAAGACATCTGAACGTTTTATAAAATGGTCGCTCACCCGAGGCCTCTCCCCTTAGAATGTCAAAAGGGCTCAAAAAAGCAAATTCCTCTGACTATTTGTGTGTGTACATGTGATTGTGTGACTGCATTTATGTGTGTGTGATTGTATGTGTGATTGCCGTGTGTGTGTGTGTGTGTATGTGTGTGTGATCGGAAGTATAATTTTTTTTTTTTTAATTCTTACAGTGCTGGAAAGAAGCAGAGATGCTTTTCCTGACAGCCTCAACTCTTTCTAGGATGCCAAAAGGAACGGGAGGACAGACCTGGGGAAGCTGGGGCTGTGCAGAGCTCCTGGTGAGGCCTTGAGCAGTGTCTCCTGTGCAGCTGCTGAAGGTCCCCAGCACAGCTGAGCCAGGGGAGCTGGCTTGGACGGTGTAACTACACAGGAAGTATACCTCCTGGGTGCTGGTGAGCAAGCTAACAAAATTCAGAGCGCTGTGGTCCTGAGGAGAGTCCCTGGGTGAGGGGAGTAGGGCTGAACTGGTCCTTGGATTACATCTAGTCATCTGGGCAGAAAAGACAAGCAAATCAAATGTGGGTTCACAGAGGAATTGCTCGTCTGGACTCTGAGTGATAAGCAAATGGTCTTTGAGGTCTCAGAGAATTCAAATGTGTGTGGTGTCTCCTCAGCTGGGCGTGGCTGGGATGCAGTCCACACCCAGGCTTGAACCCTCAGCTGAATGAAGAGTCTGCTCACTCGGGGACAAAGGGACGACCCAGCTGCGGTTCCTGCCCTGAGCAACCACAGTGTGGCTGCAGTCACGTGAGGATGTGAGCCAGTGGCTAGAGGATAGAGACCCTGGAGGGCTGAGGGGCTCTGAGCTCCTGGCTCCTCTGGGAGAGCCTGGGTATGGACACAGTTGACTTTGTATAAGGGCTCCTTCCCCTTCTGACCTACTGCTCTGGGGAGGAACACAGTATCTTCACCCTCCCTTTGTCCATAGCAGAACACTAGACGGCCATTTTCCCTGATCCACAGGCCAGAGACAGGGCATCTCCCACAGAAGAGGCATGAGAGTTTCTGGAGACAAGGAAGTCTGTAAGAGGGTATGAGGCAGCCAGAGGGGCAGTTCTGGGGAACGCTCTGCTGGTTTTGGTCCCGGCCAACCATGCAAACCATGCCAACCACATTGGTGAAGGACTGGCAAGGATTCCTGAATGTGTCCCGCGAGTACCCTTAACACCAAATGGATCAGAAAGAAATTCCTCCACCCAAGATGCTGCAAAACAGCACGGCTTCTGCTGTTGCAGGGGGACATTTAAGTGTGTAGAGAGGGAGGGCAGGGGTGGAAACCAGAACACGTAGGAGGTAGAGGTGGTAGGAGGGGAAACTGTGGCTAGAAATGGACACAGAAAGACAGAGACCAGGAAGGACCCAGGACCACCAGGCATGAACTGATCTTCTAGTCTTTCCAGTGATATTTTGCAAAAGGAACCCATCTGAAACCACCCTCCTCTCTGGAGGCAATGGTGGAGAGATAAGGGGAAAGCTTCTCTGTGGGTGCTGGGCTCTCTGTGGGGTGCTGGACTCTCTGTAGGTGCTGGATTATCTGTGGGTGCTGGGATCTCTGTGGGTGCTGGGTTCTCTGGGTGCTGGACTCTCTGTGGGGTGCTGGGCTCCCTGTGGGTGCTGGATGATGCTCACCTACAGGGCAAGTGTCATAGAGCTTCTTCCTGGCAGTGGGCAGGCTGCTGGGAGTGCTCCCACTTGCTGGCGGGAGTGCTTCCTGTTAAAGGCAGTCACATCTTAATCATTTCCATTGTGTCAGGCATGGCTTCTGACACGTTTATTATCAGAATAATCTTGTGGTAACAGAGTGATGGTGGGATTTTTTACACCCATTTTTTAGGTAAGAAAACTGAGGCTCAGAATTAACTAATTCACCCAAGTCTCACAGAAAGTTGGAACAAAGCCAGAATGGAAACCTCAGCTCTTTGTCTTGAAAGCCAAGCATCTTTACTTTGCTTCCTTGGAGAAAGGGAGTCCTGCAAAATGAAACTCCAGTTGGACAGAAGAGTGAAAGGAAGCACAGGGTACAGGAAGTTACTTCCTCCAGGAAATGGGCAGGAGGGCAGTGACAAGAAGGTAAAAGACACATAGAAGGGTGACACTCTCATGTTTAACATGTTAGGTGTATGTCAGGGACACATGGTTTATACAACGAAAATCAGAGTGGCTTAACAAAGTAGTTTATTACTATTGTGTGTGTGTGCATGCATGCACTGCGTGAGTGTGCGTGTGTGTATGTGTGTGCATGCATGTGTATAATGTATTTGCATGTGCATGTATGGCTCACATGTGTGTGCATGTATGTGTGTGTGTGTGTGTACTCAAGCATGCAAACCATGGTGAGTGTGTGGAGGTCAGAAGACATCTTTGTGGGACTCAGGTATTGAACTCTGATGTCATGCTCGCTTAGCAAGCCTTTACCCGCTGACCCTTCTCACCAGCTCCCCTACTAACTCAGTTATTTTATGTGGATAGCTGGTTACTGGGTATACGTTTAAACAAAGAGCCAAATGTAGCTGGCTCTCTGGGAGTTGGGAGGAAGGCAGAGAGATCCTGAAAAGGCAGGGGTCATCAGGCAAGTCTCTCAGCAGCAGTTTCTACTTCTGTCCTGAGTCCAGTCCTGAGGATCCTTGTGAGATCAAAGGACAGGTTGATGCAGCCCAGGACCCAAAGATATCTGTCTCCCTGACAGGGGAGAGTCAGAGTCTATGAGATCATCCTTCACCTTGCCCCAAGCCATCAGTGTGTAAACGGGAGTTAGAGACTCGAGCTGGGAAAAAAAAGTCTCTGTTCCAGGCCCAAACCTCTGCAACGAAGTTTAATGAACTTTAGACACAGACTCCAGAGGGGCCGGCCAATCAGGACCGGGAAGCTATTAATGTGACTCATGGCAGCTACAGGAAGGCATCGCTGCTCTCGGCTCTGCCTTTCCTAGCGCTGCGCCTTTCAAAAGGCCTGTTATCTCGGGGAAGGTAGCAAATGTCTTTTGAATTATGTCTTCAAGAAACAATACTTTCCTGCTCATTAACTGTGGGGGTGGTGAGGCATGACTGTGAGCTGTGAGCCAGGCAGGACAAAGGCAGAGGCCACCAGGGCACGGCTCGGCTCTATTAGCTGGGTAGGCTGTTTATTGGGTGGAAAACTACTTTATAATTAGGGAGGGAAGCCAAGGCACAGGTAAGTGGCTGCTGAAGAAAGTACTAGAAGAGACAGAGGCAGGAGAGCCACAGGCTTGCTCCATCCCTCCTCCCCTAGTCAGGGAGGTTCATTCAGAGTGACAGGCAGGGAATTAAGAAAGCCAGTTGAACACTTGTAACTTGGTATCTCAACTTAACAGTACCAGAGAGACCCTGCTCACACCCTAGCGGTGACCTCCTCCCAGACTAAGCCCGGATCTTGAGTCTCTGCCACCTAAACGAACAGCCATTCTCTTGGGAGAAAAGACATATTACCAAAACACAGCTCTGTGCTGGTTTCATGTCACATACAGGACACTGTATGAATTATTGCTGGACAGCCATGGCAAGCTCTACTACCATTAGCTTAAAATCCCACGTGGGGGTGTGTTCCAAACAGATGGCAACGGCTGTGGCATTGCCCCCAGGGTCTGTAGCAAAAGCACACCAAGAAATTAAACTCAAAACCCACAGCATTTGCAACCCGACTAGGTGATGGGAGAGCCCCCAAAGTACATGACCACGGGCAAGGCCACCAGTGGTCATGAGACACTGGGCAGCCAGCCATGCTGGAGAAAGCCGAGTGAAGCAATAGGTATCTGAGCATCAGCATCAACACATCCATGGGTTCTGTGGCTAAACACGGGGGTGGGGGTGGGGCATGGAAATCCAGCTGAGGCTGTGAGTAAGTAGTAGGCTCCATATAGCTGTGAAATCACGAAAGCAAAATTTCTACTGAGCAGTCAGAAACCAAAAGGACAAGTCAAAGGTCAGAGAAGTGCTGTGATGTGTAAGAGAGATGCTTTCAAAAGCAAGCCACCGTCACCGCCACCGCCACCACTACAGTCACCGCCACCACCAATGCCACCACCACCGCCATCACATGGCTTTTAACAGCCGGTGAGGCAGCATAAGGAGATCTCAACACGAGAATAGCTAGATAAACCCGCCCTTCCAAAACTTCGGGGGAACTGTCTTTACATAAAACCCCAGTCTGCCAAAGAGGCCTGCATCTGAGACCGCCCTCTATCTTGGGGAAACCTGAGGAAGTAGGAGAAGTTGGAGTTGACATTGAGGTTAAACCTCAAAGCTTACTCAAAGAAATGGAAAACTAGGGTAGAGGAGAGCATCATTTGGATCACAGAGGCACAAATATCAATCAATCAAGATCATAGCATATTGTTTTCTGGTGGCACAAAGGCTTTCAGAACATGATGTGAGCCGGGCGGTGGTGGCACACGCCTTTAATCACAGCACTCAGGAGGCAGAGGCAGGCGGACTTCCAAGTTCAAGGCCAACCTGGTTTACGGAGCAAGTACCAGGACAGCCAGGACTGTTGCACAGAGAAACCCTGTCTCAGAAACCAAAACAAACCAAAACAACAACAACAAAAGAACATGATGTAAGACCTGAAGTTACATTATGAAATACTTTTAGAGCTGTAAATTAAGGAATATAAGAGCTAATATTAGTATAACACCATTTGTAATAATACATACAACAGTATTTTCTTCCTTATAGGACATGGAAGGTGGAAGATGGAAGCTTCAAAACAAAACAAAAACAACTGTGGTTTTTTTTAGGGGGGGAGGGACAGGATCTTGTGTAGCCCAGGCCGGCCTTGAAGTCACTATGTAGCTGAGGTCACTATGTAGCTGATCTTCTGGCCTCCACCTCCTGAGTGGTGGATGGGTACCATCATACGGGTTTTATGTGGTGCTGGGGATTAAACTTGGGGCTTTGCGTGGACCGAACAAGCACTTGACCAACTCAGACACAGCCTCAGGACAGGCATTTTTAAAAATCAGAAAGACATGAGGAAAATGATGAAGAGGCTCTTTGAGAAAAAGCCAAATGGTGAAAACTGGCAAAAAAAGAACCAAGTGACAGAGAATAGGAACTGGCCCCTGAGAAAGAAACCAAAGCGAGAGACAGAAAAGCATTGACATGCTTGGTAAGGCAGTTTCCCTCACAAAAAAGAGGTTTAAGACGACATATTGAAAAGTGCATGGCATGCTTCAGACCATCAACTCGGAATGACCAGTACCAAGATGTGACAGGAAGACTACAGGACTGAAATCAGAGGGTAATAGCCTCGGGGCATGTAGGCAAAAAGAGAACATGACTTATAAAGTAAAGGAGATTTTATCATCTGCTCTTTTACAGCAATATTTAGTGCTAGAAGAGCCTGGATAATTTCTTACATTTTTCATACACAATATACTCACACTCGTGATGAAAAAAAAAGTGTGAACAACAGTTTCATATCCAGCAAAACTACCTTCCATTAAGGGGATAAACTACCATCACCATGCAAGAGTTTGGAGAACACCAATTCCATGAGATGAGGCTTCATTGGGAATCTACTGAAAAATGAGTCTCAGACAGCTGGGGCAATGATGAGGGAATCAACACAAAGATGGAAGGAAGATAAGTGTTAACTGGGCACCCACCTATGGGAACGAGACTGGTAGAACCGCAAGGGGAAGATGTAATGTGTGTGTGCTAGATGGTTGGTTAGTGCTAGCACAGCACGCCTGAGAAACTGGGAAGAAGCAGGCCAACAGCATCAAGTATGTTCAGGTAGTTTCAGTATTGTCCCATAGGATACTAGTGTTGTTATTTTTGTTCTGAAATGATTGTGATAATCAGGGGATGTTCCAATTCCATGGTTTCTTTTTTCAAACAAGGATTCTAGGTTTTGAAGAAAAGAAATACAAATGAGATATGAAATTAGTTGAGTGAAAACTATAGGGTTTAGAATATGAAATGTCAGTTTGAATTTATGAAGTATTTGACACTTACCCTCACGTGCAATTGTATGTGTATGTTCCAAGAAACTGAAAAAGAACAAGAAGTAATGACCAAATGACCAATCCAGTAGCAATAAACATCTTTTGCCAAAGAGATTGGGTCACAGTCTAATCATGTGACTATAAGACAGTCGACACACTGAACTGCCTATTAAGTTAGTTTATCCAGACTGCCTGTCCCTGAATGCCTCCTTCCGTGTGGGTAGGGACTACTTGCTCCAAGCTTCCCAGCTACATGGAGGAATCCAGGGCAATGCAAGAGCTCAGCAGTCTGGAGTGGTACTGGGTCCATACTGATCGCTGTGGGACCCTAAAGGACCTCGGCTTCTGTTAGCTTCAATGTGAAAAAGCAGTTTCTTCAAATCGCTTTTGTCAATCATAAAATCAAGTTTCTCCGTTTTTGAGACTCTAGGCCCCAGCTCCTGTGGAAGGATGTCATACGTAATTATGGTCAAGTTCCAAGGATTCTCCACTGTCCCACTCTGAACCTCTGTCCTATGATGTCTGGGCCTTTCTGTTGTAGGTCCTCGGTCTTGATGGATTCCTGGACATATCTGCTGTTAGAAGCCCTCCTAAGACCCCCTCTCAACATCTGCATTCTAAAGCTGGAATCCAACCACCGAGAATCCAAGAGCAGCCTGACTCTACAGCAACTATGCCACGCACGCAGCCCAGGTCTTCAATCCTTCGTGCACTAAAAGAGTTGATAGGGCCTACTCCAGTCTGCACTCCGTCTCTGCCATAGCATGACATCATTTTCTGTTTCGTACACATAGTTAAGAGCTGAGAACTCAGGACTTCCAGAGCTGACAATGCTCTCCTCTGGAGCATCCTTTCCCATGACTTTATTTGCTCTGGTTAGGAAACTGAGAATCAAAGAAGTGACACACGCTTGGCACATGGTCTATCTCTCAGTGTCTCTGGCCTGACCGCTGCACGAACCTTGTACCAGAACGTGTGCTGAGCAGAGAGGAGTGACGGAGGGAGAGAGATGCTGGAGGAAGAATCCTGCTGCTGCAGATGACAAACCCTGCCCCGGAAGAAGTAAAGATGGAAAAGC